AAAAAAGGCAAAATTTTTTCCAACCTATTGTAATATTCGTACAAACAACTGATCACAATAAATTTCTTTCAATTGGAAAATTGATAAAATACTTATATGGAGTCTCTGAATTTTCTAGCGAACAAATTGCAAAAACACGTTTTGATCTCTTTCTTTATCGACCTCTATCGTGATATGCCAACATTAATTTTACTCTCTAAATATATTATCGTCGAAGTAACTTTATGCGCATTGTAAATTATGCGCACTACTTGACTTATAAGATTAGAACCTGCTCATTTTCAATGATCTCCCTTTGTTTCCTTATCTCACTTGATTTTGTTGAACGTGTACTCGTTAGAGAACAATATAGAGTTCGTTACGCTAGAGAAGGTTTCGCGGAGGAGTTGCTGATAAGAATGATAAGGGTAAAGGATGCCGCGCAAAGTTTGCAGACTCACATTTTGAGTTACAAATGACTCGAGGATTAAGCGCATGAAATGAAACTCCTGAAAATCTGAACTCACACACAATTACTTTTCACAAATTTCTTCAAGGCTTGTGAATCAGCGTGATTCATCTCAGGGTAAGTTTACTCAGTATATGTTTGACTTTTCGACAGTTCGATAATTTTTAGCTGCTTTTTAAGCTCTGTCAATCGCGCTTTTACACGCGTAATTTACTTGCCTGTAGTTTCAAGATCTCCTGCTGCATCCTGCTTCTCTTCTTGATTATGGAGAACTGAAAAAAAGGAGAAAAGGTCCATAGTAAATATGGCCTTATGAAAAATAAATGGAAAGAGTAGATATATGACCTCAAGGGCAATAGAAATGATGAATTGTTCAACAAACGCGGACATAGTGTCCAGCATAGAACTGGGGATATTCCAATTCATATATGCTTATACCGAAGTAAGTTTACTACCATACCCTTTGGTAAGCTGAAGGCTATCTGCATAAATTTCATCTGTTGTGTAGTAAGAAAAATGTTCAAGAAAGTACCAACCTTCACTGGTTGTCTGACGACGAAATCCTAGAGTCGTTAAAAATTTTCCAAAAAAGCTTTGTGCTCCCTCTTGCTCGCGCACCTTCGAGATCAGAATTGTTATAATGAAAAAATTTTTCCATAGCTGAATACCTGAGTTGTAATCTCTTTGATTTCATTGGTTCCAAGGGTGTTTGATCGAGTACGTGCGTTTCGGGCTCCGAGGGGACTGAAAAATCAAATTGCGTTCAAATTAATGACTTTTCTCCATTTAAGTCTTAACTTTCGGTTACACAAGTAAAGAGAAGGTTTATGAGTGAGTGGTCTAGAAAATCACTTACCGCAGAGATAATTTCTGTAATCCGTTTTCTACGGCATCAGCTTCCTTGAAAAATGAAGAGTTTTACTTGATTTTCAATCAAAAAAAAAACGCTGAGATTCCCTTACAACTTTCGTGGTGCTTCTTCGGATATTTTCTTCGTTTGCGGAGACAGATCTCTTCCGTAACTTCAGGCCTCGTTGTGCCATTGAGCCTGGCGAAATGTCAAGCCAGGCCGCTAGAATATATTAGATGCATGAAAACTACTATTTAGAAATCTAGCGAAAAAAGTGAAAAGTAAAAAGAAAAATCGACGAAGCATAAATTCTGCAGCGAGCATGTCTGTGATTATTTGTCTACGCGTAGGTCAAAAATAGGTAGTCAATTGTTGTTCCACTTTGGTCTTCGTGAAAACCTAGATTCATTTTTGTTGGTCCGCGTAGTTTATACTGCTGGAAGAATATTGCCGCAATTGTTTATCTCTTTCAATAATTGCTTAGGCGTATAATCGTTCAAAATGCTTCAACTAAACATTAGTTCGCGTCAAATTTTTCGTGGATATTCCCGACTTTGCCTCCTTGCCAAACCTGTCTCAGGCTACGCTTAGTTTGGAGATATTCATGAAATCTCGCCTTATTAAGATGCCGCTTTCATGTAAGAACAGTTTTCGTTGCTTCCTCTGGCGCGCTCCGATCGCAAACGCGACGCAACCGCTTGCTGCCAAAGGAACTGCTTCGTCCTACTTGTTTCGCATCGGCTAATGATCTTATCCTTGCTTTTTTACTTTCTCCTTACTCGAATCTCTTTAGCAGTGTTTGTCGATTATATTTTGGCAGATAAGTATCTCTTCTTTCACATTTGAAGTTCAGCTTGGAATAAGTGCTCGGCATTTTCTCTATCTCAGCTTTTTCTATTGTCGTTGTTTATTATCGTCAGTTCTTTTCTCGTCTTCCTATCGATGCAAATTTTGTGAGTATATGTTATAGGGATGGCCTCTTTTCGTAAAATGGTGCCGGCTTCGGCACTTATCCACGAAGGAGGAGATGATGTGACGGAGAAGAAATCTAGAAACGAGTATCGGAAAGAAAAAGATCTTGAGGTACATTTTTGGAGCTCAAGCTTTTTTCTTCTGGAAATACAGTAAGAAATATTTCTGATTCAAGGAAGAGCGTAAAGCGGGAACAGCCCCTGCTATGGTTGATGTCAAAACTGGAAGAGATATCAATCCGCATATCCCTCAGTTCATCTCCCAAAATCCCTGGTATGTACCCAGCGAAGGACCCACATTAGAGGTAAGCCCCTGTAATTCAACTTTTTGGTTAGGAATCTCTCTCAAAAAATTTCTTACAGCATCAACGTCCTCATGCTGAAAGACAAAAGCATATGGCAACCATCGATGAATGGTACAAGAAAGGTACCACAGGAAAGGCTGCTACGAAATTCAGAAAAGGTAGTCTTTATTTTGACTTGTGTTTTGCTTCAGCTGATTGGCCAAGATTAATACAGCAATATTTATTCGACAGACTGGCGTTTCGGCGGTT